ATAATCTCACTGCCCTTCATATTCATTAGCTTTTTACGTATCACTCGGACTAATTAAGCTGCGATTAATAAGTACTCAGCGGGACGTAATTACCCCGGGGTAATTATAATTACTTTTTTAAAAGAAAATAGAAAAGGCGCTAAATGTGCTCCTTAAAAAAAACTATTGTATCAAATTAAAAGTAAAACCCAAATGTTAGATCTTTTCATTGAGGGTTTTTCTATTCCAACCCAAGTAATAGCAGTAAGTACCCGGGAAGTAACTGAAATAAACTAAAGCAACGGTGGTTTAAGAGGTCAGAGGGAGTCTGGGATAGAAGAGGGTCTGAAAGGGGGTCCACTTCTTCATGATCCCTCGCATATCGGCATATCCTCGCAACGACGTCGCGGATAAAGCAAGGTAGACTACTTCTTGTGGGAACTACTTCTTGCGGTGTGTTTCTGCCCGGCGATTCGTTCTTATTGCATTCTGGCATTCCGCCGCGGTCGGAATTTCTATTTCATAATAACAGCCGTGCACACACGACGCGCGCGCACTCCGGGGAGAGGCCAGCTATCAAGAGAGACCATTCCTCTCCTCCTCTTCCTCCGCCTCCTGCTCTTCTTCTTCTTCTTTTTCTGCTTTGCGCACCTCTCTAGCTGGTGTATAGACGAGTACCCACTTCAGACTGGTTTCGACTCGACTAGGACGGACTCGAGCCCATTCGAGTGCGTGTAGGTACGTGTTATGCGGGCCGTACCACCCGTCGTAAAACCGCGCGCACACCGCGGTGGTCGTCGGCCGTCCCGTCCCGTTTCCAACCAGATGCGTGCCGACTTTTATCTCTTTGACCCACTATTTTCAGGGCGGCCGTAATTGAGCGGAGTCGCGCGCCGACGAGCCGCCGCTCGTGGAATTCATTAGCGGGATCCACGTCTTAATTTGTCGACGCGACGAAACGCTCGGACGGACCCGCGTAGCTCGGATTTCGCGAATCTGGCACGGTCGAAATAATTATTCTTATGGAAAAAAAAGTTGTACACTATTCGTTCCAATTTTTTTCCCAGTTTTTTCACTAATTCGATAATATTTCTCCACAAGGGTGAAGCGATCAACTGAGCAATCACTTTTTAAAATTATAGACATGCATATCGAAGAATACGACGCAAAAGTAATTTAACTGAAACTCGAGTAAATTAGTCCTAAAATTGAAATTTAAGATTAATGTAATTGATCATCACGTAACATATTATTAATTTGCTTCTACGATTATTATTAATTTTATTCATAAATTTACATAATTAACATGAAATTGCTTTATCCTAAATAATTGATATAATTATGTATAAAATTTTCCTAAAAGCACAGATCTCCAAGGGACGTTCCAAAGAACATTCAGAGGATATCTCTACGTCCTGAGAACGTTCGTCAGAATGTCCCTCAAATAAAGTGTGCTATTAGAGTTATTATTACACAAAAAAATATATATATTGTATTTAATCTTTCATCGGCATATTAGACTTTAAAGTCAATTTTTTAATATTCTTCAAAAGAAAATAAATTTTAAGTACATGATGAGTTAATTAAATGAGTTTTTAATTTGTAAGGAGTATATTTTAAGACTGTTATCAAGAAAATATTCTTTGTTAAAGATAACCGTTCAAAGAAAAAAGTAAACTTAGTAATCACTTTTCTTAACAGTAAAATATTTTTCTGTGTATATCAATAGCTTGGAAAACAAGATTTCTCTGTTCTTTAATTTTTAAAATAGTTCTTAAAATGTATCTCTCTTTCATATCATGAAATTGGTCTCGAATGAATGTAACTTATAAATCACATATAAATAAAAATGAAATAATACATAAATAATACATGTGATTGCAAACGTGATGTATTACCAAGCCCCATTGTTCCCAAGCAAAACAACAAGACACGATGACGTCAAAATGAATCATTACGTTGTGATTATTGATTGAAAAGTGACTTCTAATAATCCTTTTGGAGTCATTTTGACGTCATTTTGATGTCATGATGATTTGTGTTCAGAGGCTGTCAATTCGGCCAGTTTGATTTCGGAGTCGACAGCTTCACGGCATTCTGAACGTTACATATCCTCGCATATCGGCCACCTCGATTGCGAGACGTCGTCAGACCCGACGACAATTCCTTTCAGTGCATTATTAAATTATAACCGTTTGCTCTTCGCGAAGTCTACAAAGTCGGCGAAATATTTTTCCTCTCTCAGCCGCGCGCCGCGAGAGAAATTAGGTGGACGGCCAATAATAGCGCGCGTATATTTTCCCAGTATCCTTGAAGAAACACGCTTTTAGATCTCGCTTCCGGCAAGCTTCTTTTTCCTCCTGCCGCGAGGGATCCCCCGTCGCGAGCGCGCGCGCGCGATTGATCGATTATGTTCCGATCGATGACGAATTCCACGCAACAATTTGACGCCTTATGGATGTCCAAACGACGTTCCGGCCGTTCGCCGTAAGGTTAGGGCACAGAACTTTGCATAACGCATAATGCATAAAGTATAAGAAAATCAATCAATCAGAATCTTTTATTTCATAGGAAGAAAAGAAATAAAGGACTTTGATTCATTTTCTTATGTATTATGCGTTATGCAAGACTCTTGTGCTACCGCCCATACATGGACGTACTAAAGAAACACGCTAAGTCAAGAGAAAGTAAAAATGACTTTATTTTGACGCATGCAAGTCAAATGATGATTTTTCATTACAAAATTTGACTGTTTATTGACGTAAAGAATCAGAATAAGTTATTTTGACTTTTTATTGATTTTTGTGTGTTCTTTGAGAATATGTCCTCACAGTCATCCATCAGTAGATGTCTTTCGTATAATGTACCGTTCAAACCCATTCCATAAACATCGTTACTACCACTTAAAGAACACACCAAGTCAAGAGATAGTCAAAATGACTTTATTTTGTTTAATAAACATCTAAAGTACGTCCCAAGCCCAAAGAACACATCAAATCAAGATAAAGTCAAAATCAACTTTACTTTGGCGTCGTGTGTCGTGTAAGTAAAAAAAAATGATTTTTCACTACAAAATTTGACTATTTATTGACGTTAAGGACCAAAATAAAGTCATTTAATTTGATTTTTTATTGACTTTTGTGTTCCATGGACTTGAGGCGTATTTTATCCGAAGACACGGTATTATAGTATCTCGGCGCTAAGATAAGCAAAGCGTCATGGCGTGAGACACGCGACATCTTTAGACGTTTGAAATATATCCTGAAAAGTCCCGTTTATGTTAGATATACACGGTGTGTTCGAACGTCTAAAGAAATGTCGAGTGTTGCGTGGAATACGCTACTCGCTTTCGTGAAATCGTACCTCTTGACAAACGCGACGGCGCGACGAATGCGAAACGAGACGAGGCTCGCGGAAAAATTTCTCGTAACGAGTTCGTCGACACGGGAAAAGTAAATACATCGGCGCGCCGTGGCGCCTCTCGTTACTGCTCTCGCATCGCGGCAAGATGTCCCGTTTCTGCACGGCCGTTTTTCTTTCCCGAGACGTGACTTTTATTGCCCATCCTTCGAACGAACGATCGATCGTCGAGAGGCCGATGTCGTGAAACCGAAACGCCGTGCCGAGACTTGAATGCGCTCCGCCGAGTCGTAATGACGTATCGACAGGCCGCGGTGGAAAACTGCATCGTTACACCTTCCTCTACTGTCCCGCTCCCCGCCGCCTGCAACCCCGTTTTCCGCATTTGTTTTTGTTGGATACGTACTGCGAATGTGCACGCGGAGGTTTTTCGTTCGCACGTAACCGGCACCTCAGCGCGGATCTAATTCGTAGAAGAAGTGGAATTCCAACTAAGACTCTGAGATTAACTTAATTCTAAAATTAAAATTAGATCGATTAGATCAGCGATTGCATATCTATTCGATTGTTTTTTCTTGTAAAACGCACATCTCGGAGAGATCATGCGATTATGAAAAAACAATTCTCACAACTCGCAATTCTTCGCAATAATTCTCCATAATTTACGGTCGCTGAAGAATCCTTCCTTACCGTGTATTTTTATATTTGTTTGATTTATTAAATAATCGCAGCAATTATTCAATAAATAAACGGTAATACGATTAAAAACATTTTGTACTTAAACCGGTTCTTGTAAAATTTTTATGTTGAATTTTTTATATACTCAAGTATTAATTTAATATAAATGTGATTATATTATTTAAATATTTTGTATAAAATTAATATTTAACATTTTTTATGATTAGTGTTGAAGTAATTTATAAATAAATAAACAAACATAAATAACAATATAGTTTTAAAAAGTAATATGTTAATATGTTATAAATGTTAATTTTATTGAAAAAATATGCTTCCAAAAATTTGCTTCCAAATTGTGCAAAAGTGTTACATTTCTCGTGTTAATTTTTATATATTGTGTTACTTTTTTTAACATATTTATCTTGTAATAAATTAACACAAAAACTTAGGTGAACCGTTTGGGATATATCAAATGTTATGTATTAAATACAACATAAATTTTCCAACTGTAGAATTATTATTATTACCATAAACGTTCCCAAGTAGCAAGCTAACGTTATTCGTCATCACCCCTGACGTCAAAATGACATTTATAAGAATATTTTGACGTCAAAATAACGATATAATAACATCTGCTTCCTACCTGAGTACGTGTCCCGAACAATCCATCCAAATTTTTGTGTTAATTCAATATAAGATGAATACATTAAAAAGTAACACAAACATTATGAAAAAATTTACACAAAAAATAACATTTAGAAACAATTTAAAAACAAATTTTTGGAAGCATATTTCTTCATAAAATTAACATTTATGATATGTTAAAATTAACGTTACATTCATTATTATGTATTCATTCTAGAATGGATAAGTTCGTAGAAAATAGGAATATATGCGTCGCATAAATAATCTTCGCTTCCGCGAAAGTTGCCACGAATCCGACTTCCAGTTTGTACACGGTAGGAGAGTTGAGATGATCTTACCAGCAGCCTGGAATACATGGAGGTCCCGTCGCGTTCTAAATTTCTGCCCATCGTGCGACAGCTGCACTTGTTTCAGGTACTCTCTGTGCGCTCTCTCGTACTCGGCCTGGCTCACGTTCGCCTGGAAACAAAATGCCATAATGGCTTCCTTAAAGCCTCATCATCGGTTCAGAAACGGTCGCTTACGTAACGTTGCGTGTATAATAGCGGCGGGACAATTACAACGCACATATACGGTGCGAATAAAGAGTAACTACCGGAAGCGCGTTCTTGCTTCTTGGAACTTTTACGGATAGAAATTTATAAATGTGTGTCTCTCTGCGCTCGTTCGGCATTTTCTTATTACGAACGCTGCGTACAAAATGCTGACGATGATCTTTTTAAATATGAATGATAGAAAAAACATAATAAAAGTATAAGTTGAAAATTAATGTGTTCATAAAATAAAAACTTTTTTAATAATTTTGCATTATCAAAATAATTATGTAAGACTCAAATTGGTTGCTAATGGAATGTCGAAACTTTTTGCAGCATTACTCATCATGATTAAGATTTTTATGTAATTATTTTGATAGACCAATGAAATTATTTTCAAACCTGTATTTAGCTAAATTTTTAGATACTTCAGCAAAATTATGTTTTCCGTAGTTTATTAAAATTTTTGAAATGTTATAACTCTCAAAAGGACACGAAATAAAACGCTCAAAATAACGTCATAATCTTTCATCAGAAATAACATTTAAGTTTCTGTCAAAAGATTCTTGCTCGTCGAGAAAAAGTTACAAAAGTTTCCTCGCGGAATTCAAGGATGCTAAATAACATAAATAATAAGAATCTCGTTGTGATTCATCGCGATTGTTATCCGAGATCTCGGCGAGACTCTCTTTCAAGAGGAGCTTGACGAGGTCGCCGATTGAACTTTCGGTCCGTTTAATTGATTCCTTGGTTACGTCCGGCGAGGTCGAACTCAAGAACGATAATTACTTCGCAGACGTGACATCGAAATTATCTAATTTTCTGGGGTCACGACGTCGCCACGGCGCTCCTCTCTTGACCCGGTTAAGTAACGACCCTTTTCTCGCGTTCCCGTCCCTTTCCTGAAATTTCACCCCCTGTTTCTCATCGTCTCACCCTTCGTGTTTTTCTAGTCGCATCTCTCGTCTTACCCCGATTTACACCCCGTTGCCGCCGCGCTCCCCCCGTTTTCTCGGTCGACTTCCTCGAACCCATTCTCGGCTACTGTTTCACGGCGATGAAACAACCAGCGAGCGCCCTTTTCCCTTCCCGCCACCGCGGTGAGAAAGACCAGACAACGACGAGCCGGCGTTCGCAAAATTAGCTCGTTGAGGTCGCGACCACTGGCGCGGCTCAGTAGACGGAGGATATAATGGACACTAGAGGGTGTGAGAACTCTTGTCCGTCAGGTTCAGAATCCCGGTTCTACAGTAGGAAACTGTCTTATAAAGGGCGATACCCTTACTATTAAAAACTCCAATTTATAATTCTGCAATATATGCACGTGATATTATTATAATAATTTTTAAATTAAATCTCGTTTTTTTTATGCAACTAAAACGTTATTCTTTGCATAGAAATAAATATGCTAATTAAATCATAATTTAATTTGACGATTCTAGATTTGGGAAAAGGGATCTGGCTCGATAATAAATTGATAATTTAGGATCATCTGTACGCACTCACACATAGTTAGATGTAATTAAATCAATAAAAGTGATTTTGCTCGGAGAGAAAATATATTGAAAAATTTTATATATCATATTGAACCTTTATTCTTTACGACTATACTAAAGGGATCATAAGGAAACATTTTCTAAAAATTGACACATTTTTGAGATTATGTACTTTTTATTTAAATATTCATATCAATGTATTTTTTAACAATAATTCTTTAAATCCAATAATTGTTATTGCATCTAAAGAATTATTGTTAAAAAACAGATTGTCATAGATATTTGAGTAAATAAATAAATAAAGAGTCCATAAATGTCAATTTTTACAAAGTGTTTCCAAACTTCTGACTAGAATGTATGTTAAATTAAATCCCAACATAAAATTTTGTGTCCACGATGCTAGAAATCGCTCCGAAATCTGGGACAATGCGATTAATTGGTCTCAGTTCCTTCTTCATTATTTCTCTCAATTGGTTTATTCTCGTCGATCTAATATTATGAATTATAATTACATGCTAGATTGTGCGAAATCACTTCCTTATGTGCATAAAATTAAATTGCTCTTGGCAACGTGTGTGATCTAATCGTTATCGCGGAATCTCCGAGACGAAACGTATCTCGGTCGCTGCACCAAGCCGCAGAACTGCGTCGTCGTCGTCGTCGTCGTCGTCGGTGCAACGTGCGGCATGCAGCGGCAGCCGGAAGTGGCGCCGTCGAAGCGAGCAGGGGACGACGGCGCGCGCGCGCGATGAATCATCGTGAGATCCGCGAAGAGACGCGTCGCGACTTGACGCCTCCGCAGTACCTTTTTACAGTCACTTAACCGCTTAAGAATCGCTTAACCGTTCGCTCGGCCCGGTTCCGGTCGCGGGATTGGCGCGCGAAAACAAATTTGTGGATCGCCGCGCCGCGATCCCGCAACGCGGACGAACGCGGGTCGAGAATTGCGCCGCGATCGAGCGAGTGAGTCACGAGAGCCTCCAGGAAACGACGCGGTCGCGGCGGCGTGCAGGCCTCCTCCTCAACGACATCAATTTTTTCAATTATTACAAATCGCCAAATTAATTTCCGTGAATGCGACGCGAATTTCCTCGCCAGGGCAGACAGAAATAGAGTTATTCCTAATCGCTATCGATCTCTCGTATTGTATGCTAATGTCGCGGCCACCGGAGAACGCGTCTTGAAATATTAATCACGTCGAAAGAAAGAGATAGATAAAGCACTTATTACCGTTCTAGGATAAGTCCTTTACAAATATGCACTTAAAGAAAAAAATAGTTGTAATTACCATAATTTATAGTCATTTTTTGGAACAACTATTTATTTATAGTTGTTTTAACCACGCAAATATAATCAATTGTGCTATTAATAATAGTCACACACCGCTTGTGAACATCTTTAGTTTTAATTTAATTCAACTACAATTTTTTATTGAGTTAAATGTTTACTTAGTACTATTCAAAGAAATACGCATTAAGATTTACTAATTTTTTTTCAGAGTATAATTACACAATATAACGGCAATTTACACATGTTACTCGTCACATTAAATTGAGTTCCTTTTAAATCTTGCCGTTTCTCTTCGGCAACACGTGACACGCATAAATCTGTTACGGTCCGGCGCGGCGCGGCGTCACGTCGCGTCGATACTTTGCCACAAAGTTTTATGCTGATATTAACGCCCACGTGGGGACCTGTCACGGCTGTCATCGTCGTGATGTCCACGACGATTAGAGAAATCATCTGTGACGAGTGATATATCGTTTCTTACCGCGATAAAGTTCGAAATCACACGGCTCGCAGTCGATGGACGTTGTGTCGTGGGAACATAGGAGTCGCGCGATCCGTCCTGTTATAAATAATGATAATAAATAAGACATTCGCGGGGCCACGAGTGTAGAAAGCGCATTCTTGCGATCGCCTGGCTATATTTTAGACAAGAAATGTCTGCTTTAACTTGAAGTTTTATATACTTGTGATAAATTCTTGAGGAAATCTTGAATAATCTAGCCTATCGTTGTTTTTTTTATTAAATATCCAATATTAGGTATTTGAATAAATTAATAAGGCTCGCTCAAGAAATTTTCCCTTCGTTGCTAATCGTTGCTAATCACTACTGCCACTAGTGTCTTAAAATTATTTCAATCAAGAGAAAGATAGACTATAAATTACGCGATGATTACGCGAACGTGCAGAAATTACATTTATCCGCTACGAGTTGCAATTTGCAGTATTATATTGCAAATGTCCGCGTGTTAACGTTAATGGGTACGCTATAACGTTAATAGACCCTCAACGGCCCTCTGACGTTGTGCAACGTTATACCAATGCGGTTTCTCACGTTTATGCAAACGTACGTGTCTGCAACGTGATGGCAACAGGGAGAGAGGAAGAACGTCCCGGGCAACATAAAGTCTAAAATTGGGATATAAGACATCTTTAAGATGTCTCTTACACATCTTGAAGATATCTTATTGCTCATTTGCTACAACAATATAATTATCATTTTGTAGTTGCTTACAGAAAAACCACGAAAATAAAAAAAAGAACACTCTAAAAAATAGCGATGTGAATTTAACATTTAACACCATGCATGGTATTAAATGTTAAATTCACAATTATATAAATACCACATGCATGCACAATAAAAATTATATATATGCGCCTATATAATTTTTATTGTGTTGCTGTTAATATTAGCACCAATATGGTGTGGATTTAACACCATGAGTTTAAAATTCACACCATATTGATGTTAATATTAAGCAATATAATGAGAATTATATAGATTCTATATGAGAGTGTTAAATCCACACCAATATTTTTTACAGTGATGAAAAAAATAAAGAAAGAAAAGAACATATTTTAAACAAAACATACTTTTACTCCTCTACAATCAGTTATTGTACCAAAATTGCATTTCAAATTAATATTACAAAATTTTAATAACATAAAACATTAAATCTCATTTTCTGGAAAACTTTGTTTTTTGAGTTGCGTAGCAAACGAGTTGTTACAGCAAACGAGTGTTATATTTAGATTTTGGATTTTTGTTGTTTGAGACGTACATCCCCGATGAAAGATCTCGCATGGACCTTCAATCATTCCGGCGAATAACCAACGGAACATCCTCTTCCATTAAATAACGGGGGCGATCAATTGATCTTTTTGAATACGTATATTCATCCGTGAATTATGCAGATCGTCGAGAGAGTTCTCAAAGGATTCGCTACGCGGAATGCGTGCATTGTGCAACGTCGCGGGGAGGAGTCTCTCTTCCCACGCGTCTCGAAAGAGATGCGCTTTGACATTTGGATTTATTTATTTATTTATTTATTTTGCCACGTGCGCATTCGAATGTGAGACAAACCGCGTCCCGCGCGAGACATCTCTGGACGCTGTCCTTCGGTCTGAAGCCAGGAGCCAGGAG